GTGCCAGCGTCAAAAAGCGAGGCGTGCCAGCCTCACACAGCGAGGCTGTGCCAGCGTCAAACAGCGAGGCTGTGGGCCCCAGCGTCCCCCAAACAGCGAGGCTGTGCCAGCTCAAACAGCGAGGCTGTGCCAGCGTCAAACCGAGGGGCCAGCCTCCAAAAACGACTGTGCCAGCTCAAACAGCGAGGTGTGCCACCTCACACAGGGGGAGGGCTGTGCCAGCGTCAAACAGCGAGGCTGGCCCGCTCAAACAGCGAGGCTGTGCCAGCTAAACAGCGAGGCTGTGCCAGCTCAAACAGCGAGGCTGTGCCAGCTCAAACAGCGAGGCTGTGCCAGCGTCAAACAGCGAGGCTGTGCCAGCCTCAAACAGCGGGCTGTGCCACCTCAACGCGAGGCTGTGCCAGCGTCAAACAGCGAGGCTGTGCCAGCTCAAACAGCGAGGCTGTGCCAGCCTCACACAGCGAGGCTGTGCCAGCTCAAACAGCGAGGCTGTGCCAGCGTCAAACGCGAGGCTGTGCCAGCGTCAAACAGCGAGGCTGTGCCAGCCTCAACAGCGAGGCTGTCCAGCGTCAAACAGCGAGGCTGTGCCAGCTCAAACAGCGAGGCTGTGCCAGCCTCAACAGCGAGGCTGTGCCAGCGTCAAACAGCGAGGCTGTGCCAGCGTCAAACAGCGAGGCTGTGCCAGCGTCAAACAGCGAGGCTGTGCCAGCCCAAAGCGAGGCTGTGCAGCGCAAGGGGTTCCCCACTGAGGTAACCCTGTGTACATGGGTAATCGTGGTAATCTGGGTAATCTTGGTAACGTGGAAATTTTTAGTAATCGTAGAAATCGTGTGAAATCTTGTAGTAATCGTGTGGTAATCTTGGGAATCGCAATGTGTGAGCGGGAGTCTAACGCCCGCAGTGCAGGGGGGCAGTGTCGGGGCCCCAAATGGCATACGATCATGTGGGTCTATTAGCCCCTTTAAAAGTAATGGCAATGGGAAGGTAGGCCACCCAAATTTGGCCCCCAAAGGGACCAGTGTGGGAGGGAGGCCGACATAGCCCCTGCTGGGGGGGTGCTTCCCCGGGCACCCGAAGTTACCCGAAGCCACCCGAAGGCGTGTCTGGTATGGCGTCCTCGTGCCCCATTTTAAATTTTTTTTGAACTAAATTGACTATTATTTTCCCATCCAAAAAAAGATTGCTGACAAAGATACTACTTAAGAGGACTCTCAAAGAAGTTGCCTCTCCACTATATTTTATTATTTAAAAAAATGGAACTTGTTTTAACTTAGTCTCTTTAGAAGTCAGGGGTGGAATGGCGGTAAAATAAACTTCGCAGTAGCTCTGTTTCCGGAGACGAGCCATTCACGTGACAGTGAGAACACGGTTTTTCCCAAAGGATGAAAGACATTGTTATCGCTGAGCATCATGGTAATCATTAGGTAATCATGGAAACGCTTGGTAATCGTGGTAACTTTTGGTGATATAGTAATCTTAGGAACCCGGTAATCGCGGTAACTTAGTAATCCTGGTAATCAAGGTAATTTTGGTAATCACGAATCCTGTGTACGCTAAAAATTTGAGTGGGTAACCCCTTGGCAAGCGTCAAACAGCGAGGCTGTGCCAGCGTCAAACAGCGAGGCTGTGCCAGCGTCCAGTGCCGCCGAAAGTACTGTTGGTGGGGGGGGGGGGGGGAAATTTTTATGAAAAAATTTTTGGGTTGCCCACCGTTAAGGGGCAACACCCAATACGGTTTAGACTTCTCTAATAGTGTTCCAAATCCAGCGAGCGAAGCGAGCTTAAAGCGAAAATTCACACAATTCTAGACTTTAACACAACTTTTGCCATTTTTGGAGCTTAATCACACGCTTTATTGGTGGGCGAAGCGAGCCAAACGGCAAAATAATGGAGGAAAATTAAGAAAACCTGCGAGCGAAGCGAGCAAGAAGCCAAAAATCAAAGAATTTGCAACTTTGCTTTATTTTTCTCTCTATTTCGAGCTCAAAATGGCACTTTAGTGTCTGAAAGTGGGGGGGGGGCGATTGCCCCCCCCCCCACCTCACTTCCGGCGCCCTTGCTCCCCGGCCTCGCGGCAGGGGAAGCGCGACGGCCTCGCGGCAGGGGAAGCGCGACAGTGTCGCGGCAGGGGAAGCTCGACAGTGTCGCGGCAAAGGAAGCGCGACAGTGTCGCGTTAGGGGAAGCGCGACAGTGTCGCGGCAGGGGAAGCGCGACAGTGTCGCGGCAGAGGAAGCGCGACGGCCTCGCGGCAGGGGAATCGCAACAGTGTCGCGGCATGGGGAGGGCGACAGTGTCGCGGCAGGGGAAGCGCGACAGTGTCGCGGCAAAGGAAGCGCGACAGTGTCGCGGCAGGGGAAGCGCGACGGTGTCGCGGCAGGGGAAGCGCGACGGTTTCGCGGCAGGGGAAGCGCGACAGTGTCGCGGCAGGGGAAGCGCGACAGTGTCGCGGCAGGGGAAGCGCGACAGTGTCGCGGCAGGGAAGCGCGACAGTGTCGCGGCAGGGGAAGCGCGACAGTGTCGCGGCAGGGGAAGCGCGACAGTGTCGCGGCTAAGGAAGCGCGACAGTGTCGCGGCAGGGGAAGCGCGACAGTGTCGCGGCAGGGGAAGCGCGACGGCCTCGCAGCAGGGGAAGCGCGACAGTGTCGCGGCAGGGGAAGAGCGACAGTGTCGCGGCAGGGGAAGCGCGATGACGTCGCGGCAGGTGAAGCGTGACAGTGTCCCAGTGACAGTAGACGATACTTCAAAAAAAATTTATAATAAAAATTTAGGGTAGGTCAACTGTGGGGTAGGTCAACCTTTTTTGTTAATATTTATAACACTATTATTTATAGTCCCATATTTTTATTCAAATATTTGTATTTATATTTTTATTACTAAATATATTGGTATGTCAACTGTGAGGTAGGTCTAATGAACAGCCCCGTTTTTACTCACTCGCATGTCTGACCACAACCTTTTTTAACAATGAATTGACTTCCAGGAACATCTCCGCCGAGATCAAGAAGCTGTCGACGGGGCCGCCGTTCTGCGTGCCCTACCACCCCAGCATCTTCGGCAGCATCTCGGTGCGTCGTGCCCGGCCGAGGGACCCGCAGTGTGCCGCAGGATCGGTGGAGGCAGCAAGAACTCCACACGCGTTTTGAGCTCCAGAGTCACTAAGTGGGACTCGAACCGAACGTGTGACCCCACCAATGGACTGCTCTCCGAACGAGGAATCCATCGGTGGGGTCACACGTTCGGTTCTAATCCTGTTTAGCGACTCTGGAGCTCAAAACGCGTTTAGACTTTTGGCCGCCCCCACCCGGTCCTCTGGCAAACCCACTGTGGGACGCCCTGCTCGCGTTGCCTCCACTGTAAAGCCGACTCGTGCCTGCAGGTGCCGATCCACGCGGCGCACCTCTACGACGCCGTCATGATCTACGCGCGCGCCCTCACCGAGATCCTGGAGGACGGCGTGGACCCGCGCAACGGCACGGCCGTGCTGCAGCACATCCGGGGCCGCGCCTACCAGTCCGTGCAGGGCTTCGACGTACGCCAGCCGCCGCCGTGGCGTTCCACCCCATCGACTTCGCTTCGCGACGGCTCCGAAAATAATACGCGCAACTCAGGCCGCCGCTTACAACTAGAGTAACTGGGGGCCGCGCTGAGAACCCGCGTATCGCTTCCCGGCGGCGTCCGCGCTAGGTTATGTTTGTCACGTTATATCTCCTAAACCGTTAGAGTTAGATGGGTAGTGTAAGCGAGCCGATTGTAGATCTAAGTCAGAACTAAAATCGGCTCGCTTACACTACCCATCTAACTCTAACGGTTTAGGAGATATATTGTGACAAACATAACCTAGCGCGGACGCCGCCGGGAAGCGATGCGCGGGTTCTCAGCGCGGCCCCCAGTTACTCTAGTTGTAAGCGGCGGCCTGAGTTGCGCGTATTATTTTCGGAGCCGTCGTTCGGGATTTCACTTTGAGTTGTTGTTGTTCCCTGCTGTCGTCGTTGAGCTTGTTTTTGTTTTTAGGTGCTGATCGACGACAACGGCGACGCGGAGGGCAACTTCAGCGTGGTGGCGGCGCTGCCGGACGCCAAGACGGGCATCAGCATGCAGCCCGTGGGCTACTTCGTGTACAGCCACACCAACGACACGGAGGCCATGCAGACGGCGCTCCCGGTACAAAGAAAAGCTCACGAGAATTTTTTTAAATTAATGGTTTTAGTCCTTTGACGGTGTTGAGTGTCGCACAGTGGGCCAGAAGACCGGTGGAGGTGGCCAAAACTCTAGGCGCGTTTTGAGCTCGAGAGTCGCTAAACAGGACTCAAACAGAACGTGTGACCCCACCAATGGATTGCCCTCCGCGCGAGGAATCCATTCGTGGGGTCACACGTTCGATTCGAGTCCCACTTAGCGACTCTGGAGCTCAAAACGCGTTTAGAATTTTGGCCGCTTGCGCAGGTCCTTTGGTCCAGTGTATGTCGGGGCTGGCTTTCCTGTTGGTTGACGTGGAGGGCCTCGCCGTGCTTCGCAGGAGTTCCGCTACTTCGACGACTCCCGCAAGATCCAGTGGGTGTCCGGGTCGGCGCCGCGCGGCCAGCCCCAGTGCGGCTTCCACGGCGAGCGCTGCACGTCCCGGGCCGACTGGCGGCTCAGCCTGCCCGTGGCCGCCGTCGCCGTGCTGCTGGCCGTGGCCGCCGCCTTCGCCCTCAAGTCAGTGCCTCGTCCAAACGTCCCGGACGCGTTTTGAGCTCCAGAGTCGCTAAATGAGACTCGAACCGAACGTGTGACCCCACCAATGGATTGCTCTCCACACGAAGAATCCATTGGTGGGGTCACACGGTCGGTTCGTGTCCTGTTTAGCGACTCAGAAGCTCAAAACGCGTCTTGAGTTTTGGCCACCGGAGCCGGTCTTCTGGCCCACTATACCCAGGTCTCGGTCTCTCTCGCACTCATGGGGCACTCCGGATGGGCGCGAGAGAGACAGAGCGACGAACCGCCGCAGGCCGACTCCGCGGCGCCTTCAGCCTGCGGATCCGAGGGTAGGCTGTACCGCCACACTGGCACGCGCGCTGGCTGCCTGCCTGCCGGGCGCCTCGGCCCCGAGAAGGACGTCGGCGTCGGCCTGTCTCTCTCGCACCCGCACGGCACGCCCCACGAGTGCGAGAGAGACAGCGAGAGAGCTCCCGCTCGGAATGGGCCTGCTGGCGCGGAAGTTGCCTCTCTTTCGACCTGAACAGACGCCGAACGTTGGCTGCTCCGGCCACTCTGCATTGAATGGAGAGAACTTGTTACGTTGCGAGCTTACGTATGTTAAGTCGATTGATCGTCTCACGGCGTGGCTGCGTCTTTGTCCAGGCACTACCGCTACGAGCAGAAGCTGGCGTGCCTCCTCTGGAAGGTGGACAGCCGGGACATCACCCTCATCCCGTCGGGCAGCGACACGGCCAACAAGAGCATGGTGGCGACTTTCTCTCTTACGCCCTCACAGTGGGCCAGAAGACCAATGGAGGCGGCCAAAATTCTAGATGCGTTTTGAGCTCCAGAGTCGCTAAATGGGACTCGAACCGAGCTCAAAACGCGTCTAGAATTTTGGCCGCCTCCGCCGGTCTTCCGGCTCACTGTGCATCTCGCTGCCCTCACGCGGCGTTTCGCCGCAATGTCCCTCTCGCTCTTTCCCGGGGTTAGGGGTTACGGGAGTACGAGAGAGACAGCGCGACGACAGTGGGCTGGACGAAGACGAGCTTGTCCTCGCAGGTGTGCCGACGCAGCGTGCTGCGGCCCAGCGCGCCCGGCAGCGTGGCCGAGGCCACCGCGGGGGCCTTGGACGCCGACGGCGGCGACCCGCGCGTCCTGGCGCACACCCACGTCGGCCTGTACAAGGGCAACATCGTGGCCGTCAAGTACGTGCACAAGCGCTCGCTGGACCTCACCCGCAGCATCCGCAAGGAGCTCAAGCAGGTAAGCTGCCAGTCTCGCTAATGTGAAAGTCAAACGAGCCGGCGTTTGAACCCGCGACCTGCCGTGTCGCAGATCCGCGAGGTGCGGCACGAGAACCTGATCCCGTTCATGGGCGCGTGCGTGGACCAGGGCGCGCTGTGCATCCTCACGGCGTACTGCGCGCGCGGCTCCCTGGAGGACGTGCTGGCCAACAAGGACCTGCACCTGGACAACATGTTCGTGTCCTCGCTCGTCGCCGACATCCTCAAGGTACAGACCGTTGCACCGCACTGTGGGCCAGAAGACCGGTGGAGGCGGCCAAAACTCTGTACGCGTTTTGAGCTCCAGAGTCGCTAAATGGGACTCGAACCGAACGTGTGAACCCACCAATGGATTCCTCGTTCGGAGAGCAATCCATTGGTGGGGTCAGACGTTTGATTGGAGTCCCATTTAGCGATTCTGGAGCTCAAAACGCGTCGAGAGTTTTGGCCGCCCCCACCGGTCTTCTGGCCCACTGCGCGTCCCAAGTGGGGGCGGGTGTGTATCCCCGGCGGAGTACACGGCCGCGCCGGCCGGCCGCCCCGGCCAGACATAGCCAGCCGGACTTCGGTGACCTTGAGAGGCCGTCCCGCCGCCACAATCACCGCGCCCTTGTGCGCCCGCCAATTTTGAAACAAGCGCCCTGAAGGCCGACTTCCCTTCCCGCAGGGCATGATCTACCTCCACGACAGCGACATCGTCTCCCACGGCAACCTGCGCTCCTCCAACTGCCTCGTGGACTCGCGGTGGGTCCTGCAGATCTCCGACTTCGGCCTGCACGAGTTCAAAGGTGACTACACAACCGGGGGAAGGAGGAGGGGGTTTGGATTGGGACCATTTTAGGTCCCGAGTTTTTAATCTTGCGCGAAATCACGGGACTGACCTGTTTCGTCGTGAAGGCGTGAAAGGATTCCGCGTGTAGCGTGTTCCTTCTTTTTCTTGCGCTAGTACTAGACTGATTCAGAGGGTCGGTTTCGTCGCTCTGTCTCTCTCGCACCCATACGGGACACCCCACGAGTGCGAGAGAGACAGAGCGACGGCAACGACTCTCGGAACCAGTCTGCAGATACACATTTCTTTTCTTCTTCTCTCGGCGGTTTTGCAGCCGGGCAGATGGAACCGGACGCCGTGCGCCGGGAGCTGCGGAGGTGTCTGTGGCGCGCTCCGGAGCTGCTGCGCGCCTCCGGGGCGGCCTGCATCGGCCACCACCAGCACGGCCAGCACGGCCACCACGGCCACCACGGCCACCACGGCCACCACGGCGTGCCCAGTCCGGGCAGGGGCACCCAGAAAGGCGACGTCTACTCGTTCGCCATCTTGCTGTACGAGATCATCGGCCGGGCCGGACCGTGGGGCAGCACAACGCTCTCCGACCAAGGTAGGCCGTCAGGCTCGCCGCCAGGCCGTCACTACCCCGCGCACGTGTCTTCGTGTCCGAGCGGCGGGAGAAAAGGACTGGTCTGTCGTGACTCCGCGCGCGTGAGACTCTCGGCGCCAGAGGCCCGGAGGGACGAGCGTGGGGTATTGACTCACTGGACCGTCCTCGTGCACTACGCACTGCGAAAGAAATGACTCCGTGGCGACACACTAGAGGGCCTGAAGACCGCCCACCGGTGGGCCGCCTCCACTGGTCTTCTGGCCCACTGTGCGATGACCGGTCGTAAACCAGCTGAAACACGGTGCCCTGCCCCTCGGCGGCGTGCCTACAGAGATCGTGGAGCGGGTGGCGGCGCCGCCGCCGCCGGGCCAGCCGCCCTTCCGGCCCGACGTGCGCACCCTGGCCGCGCTGGAGGCGGAGCAGGCACAGCAGGGCACGGCCGACTACGTGGTGCGCTGCGTGGAGGCGTGCTGGAGCGAGGACCCCGAGCAGCGGCCCGACATCCGCCTGGTGCGCGTCAAGCTCAAGGAGATGCAGGCCGGACTGTGAGTGTCACGAAGGCGCAGCGGTGGAGCCGGTCCACAGTGGGCCAGAAGGCCGGTGGAGGCGGCCAAAGCTCTGGACGAGTTTTGAGCTCCAGAGTCGCCAAATGGGACTCGAATCAAACGTGTGACCCCATCAATGGATTGCTTTCCGAACGAGGAATCCATTGGTGGGGTCACACGTTCAGTTCGAGTCCCATTCAGCGACGCTTAAGCTCAAAACGCGTCTAGAGTTTTGGCCGCCACCACCGGTCTTCTGGCTGGCCCACTGTGCGGTCGAAACTCTAGACGCGTTTTCTGCTCCAGAGCCGCTAAACGTGTGACCCTTCTCCTCTGCCTCCAGAAAGCCGAACATTTTTGACAACATGCTGTCCATCATGGAGAAGTACGCGTACAACCTGGAGGGCCTGGTGCAGGAGCGCACCAACCAGCTCACCGAGGAGAAGAAGAAGACGGAGGCGCTGCTGCACCGCATGCTGCCGAAGTAGGCTTTCTTCCTAGACCAATCTGGTGGGGGGTAAAACGACTCGAGTTGAAACTGCTTTCTCCAACGCGACCGCCACGCCGTGCGCAGGACGGTGGCCGAGGCCCTGAAGCGCGGCGACCCCGTGGAGGCGGAGAGCTTCGACTGCGTCACCATCTACTTCAGCGACATCGTGGGCTTCACGGAGCTGTCCGCCGAGAGCACGCCGCTGCAGGTGGTGGACCTGCTCAACGACCTGTACACGTGCTGCGACTCCATCATCTCGCACTACGACGTGTACAAGGTGGAGACCATCGGCGACGCCTACATGGTGGCCAGCGGGCTGCCGGTGCGCAACGCGGGCCGCCACGCCGGCGAGATCGCCTCCATGGCGCTGCGCATCCTGTCGCGCATCCGCCGCTTCGAGGTGCGGCACCGCAAGGGCGAGGCCGTGCAGTTGCGCATCGGCATCCACTCCGGTGAGCACACCGCACAGTGGGCCAGAAGACCGATGGAGGAGGCGGCCCAAACTCTAGGCGCGTTTTCAGCTCCAGAGTCGCTAAATGGGACTCGCGCCGAACGTGTCACCCCACCAATGGATTGCTCGTTTGGAGAGCAAGCCATTGGTGGGGTCACACGTTCGGTTCCAGCCCCATTGCACGAGATATTGATGAAATGTCGATTGAAGGACGAGAGTGGTGAGAGTGGTGCTGTCTGCAGGCCACTGCGTGGCGGGCGTGGTGGGCCTGGCCATGCCGCGCTACTGCCTGTTCGGGGACACGGTCAACACGGCGTCGCGCATGGAGTCGTCGGGGCTGCCGCACCGCATCCACATCTCGGAGGCGACGCACGCGCTGCTGCAGCGCCTGGGCGGCTACCACTGCGAGGAGCGCGGCGTGATCCCCATCAAGGGCAAGGGCGCCATGCGCACCTTCTGGCTGCTGAGCGAGGACCCCGCGCGCCGCATCGCCCGCATCGCCCACCTCGCCGAGCAGGCCGCCGTCCAGGCCGTCCAGGCGGAGCTCGCGCCGACCGAGCGTCAGTTGAAATATTTTTAAAATTTGGTCCCTGTAGTACACGTACTACCGTGTGCAAAAGAATCCGACCGTCAGTACTCCACGCGTCAGAGATTTACAACGCTAGCCTTGTGGATGGTCTCTTGCGCGCGGGGTAGCGACGGTCGGATTGTTTTGCACACGATAGTACTACCGTGTGCAAAAGAATCCGACCGTCGCTACCCCGAGCGCAAGAGACCATCCATAAGGCTAGCGTTGTAAATCTCTGACGCGTGGAGTAGTGACGGTCGGTTTCTTTTGCACACGATAGTACACGTGTTCGCAGTTCGCTCTCAGAAGTGTTCGCTTCTGTGAACACCCAACACCGGTTGACGTCACGCACTTTGCCTGACCGCACCCCCTGTGTGTCCCTCCCCGTGTGAAAAAATTTCATGAAACCTGTCGGAATTGGGCCTGAATGAGGTCTGAACGGTAAGACAGCGACAAGACCGTTTCCACACGAGATTCCGATGGGATTCAGATAGGATTCAGACTGCGGTCAGATGGATAAGGCACGCCAGAGGCAGCCTGAAAAGGCCCTGAAGAGTGTCTGACTTCCGTCTGAAAACGGCCGTGCAGGCGTCTGAAAAGTGGTCACTTTCCAGGTGCCATTCCGACGGGATTCAGACCGGATTCAGACCGATTCATGAGGGTGCATGAAAATAAGGTAAACAGAGAGGGTCCGCTCGGACCGGAGTCGAACCCCACGCACAGAGCGTAGAAGTCCGACACTCTCACCGCTGGGCCAGAGCGACGAGATATGGAACGGTCGGGCACGCGCAGCTCATAGCGCGCAGCCGGACAGCGCCAGATGCAGCACTGTTGTCTGACGCCTTAGAGAGGTAGTCGTATGCATGCAGTCTGGAATTCATCGACATGTATAAACAAGCGCATTAAAGCACGCCGCGTCAAATATGACGGTGTCAACGAGTCGGAAAATAAAGGGGCAAGTGTCGCATGTGCGACTTACCTGAAGACAACAGTGCTGCATCTGGCGCTGTCCGGCTGCGCGCTATGAGCTGCGCGTGCCCGACCGTTCCATATCTCGTCGCTCTGGCCCAGCGGTGAGAGTGTCGGACATCTACGCTCTGTGCGTGGGGTTCGACTCCGGTCCGAGCGGACCCTCTCTGTTTACCTTATTTTCATGCACCCTCATGAATCGGTCTGAATCCGGTCTGAATCCCGTCGGAATGGCACCTGGAAAGTGACCACTTTTCAGACGCCTGCACGGCCGTTTTCAGACGGAAGTCAGACACTCTTCAGGGCCTTTTCAGGCTGCCTCTGGCGTGCCTTATCCATCTGACCGCAGTCTGAATCCTATCTGAATCCCATCGGAATCCCGTGTGGAAACGGTCTTGTCGCTGTCTTACCGTTCAGACCTCATTCAGGCCCAATTCCGACAGGTTTCATGAAATTTTTTCACACGGGTCTTTCAACAGAAGGCCTGAGCGAGACACCCGACCTCCTCCGACGGCCGCGGCAGGCGGGAGAGACGTCCCCGACCCACGCCAGCAACGCTAGCAACGCCAGCGACCTGCACCGCAGGGCCCTGCAGGTATCGTCAAAGGGGTCTTGTCAAGTAGACACCTCTAGCGAGGCCTGAAGTGAAGAACAAGAAGAAGAACATAGACCGGAAACAGATCAAGAAATCGGCTTGTTTCGGGGGTTTTGGCAGGTTTAAATCAAATTATTTTACAACATTAAGCTTCCTTGAATTTTTGGATTGAGAATAAACATTCGTCATCAAGAAATGAGCGTAATTTGGCAACTGTTTCCGGCTTATGTTCTTCTTCTTGTTCTTCACTTCAGGCCTCGCTAGAGGTGTCTATTATTCCTCCCCAGGGACTGGTCATCTGGTCTCAAAAGCTGCGTCCTGGATTCAAAAGCTCCTATAGTCGACCCAGCCAAAGGTCTCGCTTCTTGCGACCGTCGGGGGGAGCGCGGGGGCTGGTGCGGGAGGACTTTCGCGGTGGAGGGGGCAGTTTTAACGGTCGCCCGCAAGAAGCGAGACCTTTGGCTGGGTCGACTATACTTGGTCGAAGGAATAAAAAGGGAGAGGTCCCCCAAGAACACGAAACGCTCACAGTGACGTCATTTTGATGTCAATATGACAAATTTTAGTCAAAATTTCGACAAAAAAAGCATTATTTTGACGTCAGTTTGACGTCCTTTGACTGCTTCGTGAGTGTTTCGTGTTCTTTGGGTCATGACCCTCCGGAAACTGCCAATGATTTTAAATTCAATATTTTCCCCCATTTTTCTACTTGTCTCCAGGATTGGCTTCGGTACGCGGGGGCGGACGTCTGCAGCTCCACAGCCAGGAAAATCAACACGAACCGGACCCGAGGCCACCAGTCTGCCCCAGTCGTAACATTCACAGACAATTCGCTTTAAAGATAGGTTTAATTTTTGTAAGCAATTGTTTTTTTCTAAATAAACCATGTCAATTTTTTTTTACCCATAATTGTGGCGTGCCCTTACACTGCTGCTCTCCCCTCAAGATTCTCGTAAATTTGAGAAAAATGAAAGTACTTTAACTATGATAAGCAACAAAGGGAAAGGCACGTATGTAACTTGGTGGCTCAGTGCGCAGAGGTGACGCCGAGACGCGTGTGTTATGTTTCGAAAACTGTTTCGGCAGTGGCTCGCGGGTCTAACGTGACAAAATACGTAGCTTCGCAGTGCTCTGAAGCATATGTCTGGGCGTTCCTTGAGCTGCATGTCAAGTCTACTTCGTATCCAGTCCAGTAGGTGAGTGAAATTCGGCCGTCGACCGAAAGATAACCTCTAATCCAACACGCCAGCACCGCTAGGGGCACTCTATTGATTCAAACTTGTAAGCCGTGATAGTTAGAGGGGTGTAGTAAGTGAGCCGATTGTAGTTTGAACCGAGATGTAAGTCGAATCGCTAACTTTACCCGTCTAATTTCAACGGTTTAGCGGCTCTGACCAAAATATCGTCCCGCCCGAGCGACGCGAGGCATTTTCGTCTACCGTGTGTAGGTGCTAGAAGCAACAGTGCCCAACAGTGTGTCGGCGCGGACACGGGGTAACGTCGGCCCGAGCTACGACAGGATTCGGTGGCGCGGGGTAGCTCCACACGCTCGGAGTATCGGCAAGCCCTGGAGTCGAGCTGCCCTCTGCCTTTCGCCGGGGTGCCGGCAGACTGATTCCGAGAGACGTTTTTGTCGCTTTGATTCTCTCGCTCTCACAGGGGACGCTCCATGAGCGACAGAAAGACGAAAACGACTCTCAAAATCATTCAGCAGTTGGTGTCTTAAAACCAGCTATGACTTAATGACGGCCAGACATTAGGATTGCCAGAACTTAAGAGAAATTTACTTGTATCGAAAAGAATATATAAGTAATTTATTACAAAAAGATAAATGTCTTAATGCACAATGACACAGAGTTGTACACGACGTTGATTCTTCACCAAACAAATCACAGATGCTTCTTTCTTTTTCCTAACAGAGAGGCGAAACGTGTTGAAAATGAGATTCATTCATTCATTCATTCATTCATTCATTCATTCATTCATTCATTCATTCATTCATTCATTCATTCATTCATTCATTCATTCATTCATTCATTCATTCATTCAATGTGGCAATTCATTCATTACTTCATTCATTCGTTCACTCCATGTGTCAATTCATTCATTAGTTCGTTCATACACATCAGCCATTCAGAGATGCGTGACGCAGCTGTCGTCGCCGACGGCCCCCTCGGGCTCCTCGCGGCACTGGAGGACGAACACGTCGCCCTGCTTGTCTGCGCCGTCGTCCTTGGCGTCGCCGCCGGCCTCGGCCACGGTCTTGGTGGCGGCGGCGCCGACGTCCGGCCTGGGCGCGCCGGCCTCGGCCGCCGTCTCGGCCTTGTCGGGGCAGCGCGCCCGGCCCAGGTAGAGGACGTGGTTCAGGAAGAAGCCCTCGATCTGCTCCTCGGTGCGGCCCTGCGTCTCGGGCACCACCAGCCACACGAAGAGCACCGTGGCGGCGCACACGGACGCGTACAGCCACTGCACGCCGTCCGAGCCTGCAAGGGAGGAGCACGCATTAGTCTGGTTATCCGGGCGGCAAAGGCGAGACAACTAAACCGGGTGTACGACGCACAGTGGGCCAGAAGACCGGTGGAGGCGGGCAAAATTCTCAACGCGTTTTGAGCTCCGGAGTCGCTAAACAGGACTCGAACCGAACGTGTGATCCCACCAATGGATTGCTCGAACCGGAAATTCATTGGCGGGGTCACACGTTCGGTTCGAGTCCTGTTTAGCGACTCTGGAGCTCGACACGCGTCTGGAATTTTGGCCGCCTCCACTGGTCTTCTGGCCCACTGTGCTCCGTGGAGAGGCGCCTAGGCAACCCATGCGACAGGCTGCGGCGCGCTGCGGCGGGTGGCGCGCACCATTTCGGAAATCTGTCGTCGCGAGCGCGGCCTCTTTCTCTTTCTTTCCCCTCCCGATGTGTCGCTGTCTTTGTCGCCGACTGGAGGAGCTCGCTAATGGCCTGGAGCGGCGGCTGCGTCCGGGACTTGGTCCGGGACTTGGTCCGGGAGGCGCGGCTGGAGCGCCGCGCTGGCGGGCCTGGGCGGCCTGGGCCTACCGCAGGGCTGCCGCCGAGCAGGGCTTCTCTCTCGCACTCTTGAGGCGTCCCTGACGGGAGCGAGAGAGACAGAGCGACGAAGCGCTGTCCGGTTCGAGCCGGTCGGCCCTGCGGACGCCGCCGGCGTGCCGCCGCACCGCGGCGCACAGTGGGCCAGAAGACCGGTGGAGGCGGCCAAAACTCCAGACGCGTTTTGAGCTCCAGAGTCGCTAAATGGGACTCGAACCGAACGTGTGACCCCACCAATGGATTGCTCTTCGGACGAGGAGTCCATTGGTGGGGTCACACGTTCGGTTCGAGGCCTGCTTAGCTACTCTGGAGCTCAAAACGCGTCTGGAGTTTTGGCCGCCTCCACCGGCTTCTGGCCCACTGTGCGGCGCCCCGGACGCGGCCCGCCTGCAGTGCACGGTAACGAGAAGCCGTACCGTATATCACTCCCATTGACTGGACCCTCCCCCCTCCCCCACCGGCAGAAGTGAGTTACGGCGCGAGTCGCGGTGACGTCAAAGCAGCGACTTAACGCCGTCAAGAAGAAGGGGCGCACAGTGGGCCAGAAGACCGGCGGAGGCGGTCGAAAATCCCGGACGCGTTTTGAGCTCCGGAGTCGCTGGACAGGACTCGAACCGAACGTGTGACCCCACCAATGGATTGCTCTCCGAATGAGGAGTCCATTGGTGGGGTCACACGGTCGTCTCGAGTCCTGGCGAGCGACTCTGGAGCTCGAAACGCGTCTTAGGCTTTGGCCGCCTGCGCCGGTCTTCTGGCCCACTGTGCGGCGGCGGCACGGCGTCGTCGGTTTGTTTCTTCCGAGGAAGGCGCGACCATCACGTGCATTTCGCTTTTCGCATTTCGCGGCCCGAAACGGCGACACGGCCCGAAGCGGAACGACGCGACGCGAAGCGAACCGCGCGGGGTGAACCGCGGCAAACAGCGAAACCGCAGAGAGCGGCGCGTCACGCCTCGCCCGGGATTGGCCCCACCGACCAGAATAGGCTCGTTTGTGGTGTGCGTGTGTGCGTGTGTGTGTGTGTGTGTGTGTGTCTTATGTGTGCGTGTCTGCCTGTCTGTCTGTGCCGACAATTGACGATCGCGCGTGCGATATACACGAACCGTCGGAATAGGAATGAGCAGATCACAACAATAATTAGCCAGACCCCAGTCTCCCCCTCCAAAAGAGGCAAGAAAGATAAATTTGAGCGTGAACCCGGTGAAATCCGACAAAATATCTTCCAGAAACGGGTTAATTCGTAGCGGACCTCAACGTGAACCATCGAGCACCCCCCCCCTCCCTCGCCAGTTCTCCCATTGTGGATTCCGTTTGTTGGCTGGGGCTTCCCTCTGCATGGAAGGCGGCTCGATGACGTCACTTGTCCTGGACGGGACGGGGTCTCGACGGTACGGTCGGGACCAACGGACTGGTAAAGTCCTTTGACTCCGCCTGCGTCGAATTAGCAGCTAACTGAAGACGCCCTCTCGAGAAAGGTGAGCCCGCCCCGCCCCGCCCCACCCCGCCCCGCCCCGCCCCGCCCCGCCCCGCCCCGCCCCGCCCCCGCTGCGCTGCGTGGGACGCCACCAGTACCCAGCCCACGGGCTACGGGGATGGGGACCCGCGGTCTGGTGTCCACCACGAATGAAGGGTTGTACTCTAGACACGTTTACCCACCCCTACGGCCAGGGTGTGCAATAATAAAGTGATTTAAATTGATTTTTGTCCATTATATTTAAAAGTTTAAGATTTCAAATGTAAGTCACCCTTAAATTTTCCCTTAACGGCCCTTATAACGACTTATGCGCCAAAACTTGAAAAAGAGAATTCGTTTGTGAAGGCGACAGGAAGGGGCGACAGGCCTACTGCCCCTCCCACATGGCACCAACATACCGCCTGAAAGATAGGCCAAAAGCCAAACGTAGCCCAGTAGGCAAACTCCCGAAGGTCGGCCCCAAGGGCTACCTAACTCAAGATAATCATTGCACGTCTAGTTGGTAATCAGTGAAATAATCAACATCATCCAATGAAATGACAATCATACTTTCGGGGATTCAATCACTTTTGACCATTTTTGCGAGACCACTGCTCCCAAACTATCAGCGGTCAAAGCCTTCCCGAGGCGGGGCATGAAAGAGTAGGGTCTTCAAAATAGTAAGGCGTCGAGGGAGGCCTTTGACCGCAACTAAATTGGATGCAGTGACCGCTCAAAGTCAGAAAAAACGGTAATTTTCTGAAATTCATTCACTTTTTGACCATTTTTGCGAGACCACTGCTCCCAAACTATCAGCGGTCAAAGCCTTCCCGAGGCGGGGCATGAAAGAGTAGGGTCTTCAGAATAGTAAGGCGTCGAGGAAGGCCTATGACCGCAACTAAATTTGACGCAGTGGCTGCCCAAAGTCACCAATATTGAATTTCCGACACTTTAACAGCTTTCCGAGGTCGGCGCTCAAATAATCCCCAATATTTCCCAATAATCAACATAATAACCTCCTATAATCAGTGATAACTAATAAAATAATCAAAATAAATCACATGTAATCATACTCTAAATATAATCAGTGTACATGAAAATCTTGAGTTCGTTACCCCTTGGTCGGCCCTGGAGGCGCCACAGAGGCGAACGCAGTGTGTCCTTACCGAGCCAGGCGTTGAGCTCGCGGTACGTCTGCAGCGCGGCGAACATGAAGAAGTGCGCGAGCGAGAGGATGACGGCCTGCGCCGTGCCGCGCACCCTCTGGGGGAACAGCTCGGCGGCGAGGATCCAGGGCACGGACAGCACGCCGACGCAGGACGAGCAGACGTACACCAGCACGCACAGCGGCGGCACCCAGCGCGCGCCGCCGCCCGCGCCGCCCGCCAGCCCGTCGGCGTCGGGCCCGTCCAGGACGTCCAGGCCGTCCAGGACGTCCAGGCTCTCCAGCGCGGAGCCCGCGGCCAGGGCGGCGCCCGGCCACCGCCGGCTGAAGAACCCCGACGTGAGCATGGACGCGCACATGACGGCCGCGCTCATGATGAGTAGCTGGCGGCGTCCGAAGCGCGACAGCAGCGGCAGCGTCACCACGGCCATCACCAGCCGCAGCAGCCCCACCAGCGCCGCCGCCGTGTAGTCGTCCACGGAGCTCTGCACGTCCTGCAAGCAACACAACGCCGTGACAACGCAGAGACAACGCCGCCGGCAGGCAGTGGGCCGGAAGACCGGTTGAGGCGGCCACGTCTAGACGCGTTTTGAGCTCCAGAGTCGCTAAAGAGGACTCGAACTGAACGTGCGACCCCACCAATGGATTCCTTGTTCGGAGAGCAATCCATTGGTGGGGTTACATGTTTGGTTCGAGTTTCATTGGGCAACTCTATGGAGCTTAAAACGCGTCTTGAATTTTGGCCGCCTCCACCGGTCTTCTGGCCCACTGTGCGGTAGTAGCTCTGTCTCTGTCGCACTCATGGGGGCGGCACCTCAGAGGAGAGGAGTGCGATAAGGACCATGAGACTACACACTAAACTTCTTACGGATACATCCTATCTGTATTACGGACATTTTTGTGCAATTGCAATTACGGATAGATTTTGCTTGTAATACGGACGATTTTATCCGTAATACAAAGGTTTTCGTGTCCGTAACATACAGACGAAAATATCCGTATGGTACGGACGTAAAACTCTTTGTAATACGGATGATTTCATCCGTATTACAAGCAAAATCTATCCGTAATTGCAATTGCACAAAAATGTCCGTAATACAGATAGGATGATGTATCCGTAAGAAGTTTAGTGTGTAGAGCGGCGACACGACGACTCTTCTCTTCGGAATCATTCTGCATATCCCTCCGGCACACCGCGTAGCGAACCTGTAGGGCATGGTGCGCGCGGTTCCGCCGGCCAAGTTAACAAAGCGCGACTAGAATGAGCGCGAACAACCCGCTGGAGTAGGTAATCCTGAATGAAAACAGAGCGGGCAAGTGCGGCCAAGGCCCGGCCACCGCCTCTCCCTTGTTTCCATTACTCCTCCAACATCTCGGCCACCTCGGCACTCTGCAGGGCGTGCACAGTGGGCCAGAAGACCGGTGGAGGCGGCCAAAATTCCGGACGCTTTTTGAGCCCCAGAGTAGCTAAGTTGGGGTCAAACCGTCAAACCGAACGTGTGACCCCACCAATGGATTGCTCTCAGAGCGAGGAATTTATTGGTGAGGTCGCGCGTTCGGTTCTAGGCGAGGTTCTAGGCCTGTTTAGCGACTCTGGAGCTCAAAACGCGTCTAGAATTTTGGCCGTCCTCCACCGGTCTTCTGGCCCACTGTGTGGTGGCCACCGCACCGGGGAGGGTCGCCGTTCGGTCCGCTTCCGCGCAGCCTTGTAACGCGACGATTTCCCCGATCTAATCAAGGGCCGCGCAAAAGGCGAGAGTCTCCGATGAAGAGGGAGGTATGCCAAGGGCCGCCGTCGACGACGAAACCGCGTGCCGGGCCTCCAAAGCCTCGACGGTGCGCTTACACACACACACACACACACACACACACACACACACACACACACACACACACCACACACACGAGCGCACACACACGCACGCGGCCGGTGACGCAGGCGGACGCAGGCGGGCCGCGCGCCAAAATGTCACGGGTGACGATTTTCGCACCGCGTCTGCTGCTACCCCTTCCCCCGCACTGCGAATTAAACCGCCAACCGAAAACCGAAAACACAGCCGAGGTGACCGGGCCGGGCTCGGCCGGGCGCCCCGCCTTGGCCGGGTGGCAAGGGCAACAGACCCATCCCGTCCGACCTGCGGCCTCCGCGCACAGTGGGCCAGAAGACCGGTGGAGGCGGGCAAAATCCCAGACGCGTTTTGAGCTCCAGAGTCGGTAGGACGCTCGAACCAGACGTGTGACCCCAGCAATGGATTCCTCGTTCGGAGAGCAGTCCGCTGGTGGGATCACACGTTCGGTTCGAACGCCAGTTAGCGACTCTGGAGCTCAAAACGGGTCTAGACTTTTAGCCGCCTCCACCGGTCTTCTGGCCCACTGTGCCGCGGCGGGGCTCGTGACGGGAAGCTCCGCCCGAGGTGGAGGGCAGCCCATGCCCGGAAACCCGGCGGCAAGGCCTGGCGCCTGGCGTCCCCGTGCCTCGCCACCGGTCCGGCCGTCCCGGTCGCCGCGCCCGTCCGGGTAACTCCGGTCGATTCCGGGTAATCCCCGCGACAAGGCGCCGCAGCAGACTCATTCCGAGAGTCCTTTTCGTCGCTCTGTCTCTCTCGCACTCAGGGGCCGCCCCGTGTAGGTGCGAGAGAGACCGAGCGACGAGATCGGCTCTCGGAATGAGCCTCCGGGCGAAGCGCCAGGACCGGATGCAGCCTCGCCGCCGTCCCGCCGCAACACGACGAACACGGGGCCGATTTTGCGGTGGCGTGGCGGGGTCGTCGTCGTCTCTTTACCTGGAAGAAGGTGACCGCGTAGAACAGCAGCACGTAGGCGCCGCTGAACTGCTGCAGGAACATGAGCACGCACAGCAGGTACAGGGGCCGCCGCGAGCCCCGACCGTCCATGATGGCCGCGGTGCCCTTCTTGAGGGAGCGCGCGCACCGCGTCCACCAGGTCGGCACCGAGCCGTCGGCCGACGCGCCGGAGCCAGCGCCGCGGCGACGCGTCGTCAGCACCAGCGCCTGCAGCTCGCGCGCGGCGTACTCATCCTGCAAGGAGAACGGAGAGATTCCGATGTTAGGTCAGTTACCGCCAGGAGGGGAAGCTTGACGATTGATTTGCCAACGGGCCTTTTCGTCTGTCTGCCTCTCTCGCTCGTACTCCAACGGGGACCGAGGCGCACAGTGGGCCAGAAGACCGTTGGAGGCGGTCAAAATCCCGGACGCGTTTTGAGCTCCAAAGTCGCTAAATGGGACTCGAACCGAACGTGTGACTCGACCAATGGATTGCTCTCCGAACGAGGAATCCATTGGTGGGATCATACGCTCGGTTCGAGTCCTGTTTAGCGACTATGGAGCTCAAACCGCGCCTAGAATTTTGGCCGCCTGCGCCGTGCGATAGAGAGAGACGGAGCGTATCCGGAATCAGACTGCCGGCTTCGCGGCTTACCTTGCTGCAGCCGCCAGGCGCGAGGCGCCGCAGGGACTGCTCCGCCTTGTCCAGCTGCCCGTTCTGCACCAGCCAGACGGGGCTCTCGGGGCAGCAGAAGGTGAGCAGCAGCAGCGGGACGGCGGCCACCACGCAGCAGCACCACGACACGCCGCGCCACGCCACCACGGCGCCCGCCGCGTACGCCACCAGAAGCCCTGCGGCAAAGGGAAGGGTTCGAGACGCTCCCGCGGGACCCGCACAGTGGGCCAGAAGACCGGTGGAGGCGGCCAAAACTCTAGACGCGTTTTGAGCTCCAGAGTCGCTTAGCAGGGCTCGAACCGAACGTGTGACCCCACCAATGGATTGCTCTCTGAACGAGGAATCCATTGGTGGGGTCACACGTTCGGTTCGAGTCCCATTTAGCGACTTTAGAGCTCAAAACGCGTCTAGAGTTTTGGCCGCCTCCACCGGTCGTCTGGCCCACTGTGACCCGCCGGGACCCCACCCTCTCCCGTCTCCCGCCTTTGTCCCGCCGTCCCGCCCGCGCACCGATGAAAATTTCCAGGAAACGGCGAGTCGCGCCCAAGAATGGCGAGCTCGTAATTTTGACCGGCTTGAATGGCGTCAGCTCATAGTCGTGTTTTTTGTTTCGATCCGCGCGTCGCGGGGCGTCGCGGGGCGTCGCGCCGCCGCTCGAAAAGCGTCGCGCTCTTGCCAGTTCCGCCGCGGCAAAGCCGCAGCCGGCCGCCCCGCCGGCCGGGGGGATTTTTAATGACCTATTGCAAGACCAATCGGCTGTTCACTTGACTGGGCCCTGGCTGGGCTGGCCGGGCCGCCGGGCCGGCGTGCATGGCGTTCCCCGATTACGATTTCGCCGCCGCTGCGTTGACTGCCACGGCCACGCCGCGCCACGCCGCGAAGGTCAGGCGGGAGCCTGTGGCAGTACAAGGCGGAAGAATGCCGCCCCCGCGCCGCGGCGCCGAGGAATGGAATGGACCGACTGACGGACACCAATGCTGGACCTTCCTCCCGCCTCACAGTGGATTTGCCAGAAGACCGGCGGAGGCGGCCGAAATCCCGGCGCTGGCCATGGGTCTGCTTGTCCGCCTGTCAAGTCGGGGGTAGGCAACCCCCGCACAACAGCCGTGCTCGGCGGGTGGCCTATCCTCCGTACTGCGGGCGCTTCACAAGCACCCTGGCAAGCTGCAGCGCTTGATCGCGCCAGCCGGCACCCTTGGTCGCCCCCTTCCCTCCCTACCCCTCCCTCACCTCCCCGCTCCACAGTGGGTCAGAAGACCGGCGCAGGCGGCCAAAATTCTAGACGCGTTTTGAGCTCCAGAGTCGCTGAACAGCACTCGAACCGAGCGTGTGACCCCACCAATGGATTCCTCGTTCGCAGGGCAATCCATTGGTGGGGGTCACACGTTCGGTTCAAGTCCCAGTTAGCGACTCTGGAGCTCAAAACGCGTTCGGGATTTTGACCGCCTGCGCCGGTCTTCTGACCCAACGTCTGGCAAGCTGCATCACTTGATCGCGCCGCGCCGGACGGCACCCCTCGCTGCCTCCTCCTCCCCTCCCCTCCCCTCCCCTGCTGCTGGGGCTTACCTGCCGCCCCGATGAGGGGCCCCGCGGTGATGAGCGCCCCCCTGAGGTCGGGCCGCGCCACCTCCGTGACGTAGATGGAGGCCGGGCTGGTCCCCACGGCTGCAACAGGACAGGCAAGGCCGGGCAAGGCCGGCCGAGGCAAAGAATAGAAAGACGATCCGTCCATTCGGCTCCGTCGCGGAGGCGCGCGTGCGTCCGATCGTGACTGATTGGTGTAATGATTACACCTCGGATCCCGAGAGAGCGTCGCTCCGTCTCTCTCGCACTCGCAGGGCGTCCCGCTGGGGTGCGAGAGAGACGGAGCGACGCTGGTCGCGCCGTCCGACTGGCAGTGTGGCGGCGTGCTTTCAATGGCGATCGAGAGATGCGACGACGGCGCCGTTCCGAGAAATCGCGCGTCGGACTGCGCGACTGGTGGGCGCGGGGCAGGTGCCTGATTGCAAAGGATTCTTCGTCGCCTCTGTCTCTCTCGCACTCGTGGGGCGCACCGCAGGGGTGCGAGAGAGACAGAGCGACGAGGCGATCCTCTGGAATCAGGCGGGGCAGGCCGAGCTGGCGGCCAGACTGTCGTCCGCAGGGCGCATTGTTTTTGCATGCAGCTAATTGCTCCAGCTCCGGGAACTCCGAAGCAAGTTGGGCTGTGGCGCACAGTGGGCCAGAAGACCAGTGGAGGCGGCCAAAACTCTAGACGCGTTTTGAGCTCCAGAGTCGCTAAACAGGCCTCGAACCGAACGTGTGACCCCACCAATGGACTCCTCGTCCGGAGAGCAATCCATTGATGGGGTCATACGTTCGGTTCGAGTCCCATTTGGCGACTCTGGAGCTCAAAACGCACCAGGAATTTTGGCCGCCTCCACCGGTCTTTTGGCCCACTGTGTGGCGTCGCGCGGCAGGAGGCTGTCTCTGTCTCTCTCGCACTCAGGGGGCGGCCCGGCGGGGTGCGAGAGAGACGGAGCGGGGGGCGCACGGCGTCGGGGGCGTGCCCTGGCCGCCTCGAAGCAGTCTGAGCGCGCCCCCGCATGCAGCTCGTTTTTTGGGGCCCTCCTCCTGTCTAAAAGCAATCGCACCAAATTTCACGGCGGTCGATAGCGTCACTGCCTGACTCGCCTTCACGCGGTTGCCTTGCGGTTTCGTTTCCAGTCGGCCGGAACTGAAATCTTGACGTATTAATTGAATCCACCGCGTGACATTTAGAGCACGCCGGGGAGGGAGAGGGAGCGGCACAGGCCGCGAAGCCGTGCCTTTATTTCGTTGCTTGGATTTACACACTTTCATCAAGGGGCTATAAAACTCGCGCTCGAGAGGCCAGCCACCGTGTGTGTGGCGCAGGGGCGGGGGCGGATCACAGTGGGCCAGAAGACCGGTGCACGCGGCTAAAACTCTGTACGCGTTTTGAGCTCCAGAGTCGCCAAAAAGGAGTCGAACCGATAGTGTGACCCCACCAATGGATTCCTCGTTCTGAGAGCAATCCATTGGTGGGGTCACGCGATCGGTTCGAGTCCCGTTTAGCGACCGCAGAGTGACAACAGACACAAAAGTCCAACTTTCCGTTTTCAAAATTGGAGCGCGACACACCCACGCCAGCGCGGCAGTGCCGGGCAGTGCGGGGCAGTGCGGGGCAGTGCGATCGCGAGGAAGAGGACGAGGACGAGGAGGACACCGCTTCTTATCCAATGAAGAGAAAGCGAGACGGTTTACAACGCCGGGGCTGCATCCTGCCCACACAAACAGGCAATGCCACAAACCTGAAACCAGGTTTGGCGCGCGGCGGCGTCGCGACAGGTTCGGGAACCTCGCCGGTTAAAAATAGCCTGGCGCGTCGTCTGGCCGGGCCACTCCCGGTCCCGTTATAGGGGCAGTCCGAAATCGAGATTCTCCGCGCGCGTTTTGACCTCTTTCTTCTTCTTCTTCTTCTCCTTCTTTAACGACTGTGCCGGCGCGCCGGTGTTACGTAGTTGGTGAACCTCACCCAGCGAGACGCCGACGAGCACCTTGCCGACCAGGATGAGGTCGAACGAGTCGGCCACGGCGATGACGACGGAGCCCATCACGAAGGGCACCAGGGCGAGCTGCAGCGCGCGCACTCGGCCCCAGCGCTCCATGAGCAGCACGGCCACCGCCTCGCCCACCGGCACCACCAGCATCATCAGGGACGCTGCGAAAACAACAACAGTTCAGTTCAGTTCTAGTCCCATTTAGCGACTCTGGACGCCTCCACCGGTCTTCTGGCCCACTGTGTACCGCGCCTCGCGTTCCCCGCACGCTGCGGCAGCAGCAGCAACAACAACAATAACAACAACACTGTTTGATGCGTAAACACACGCGTAAACAACCCCAGCGCATTTCGGAGAATTTTTGCATCATTTCACGATGGGCTGTCTCAACGAGGAGATACCGCGGTCCCAGCAGTTGAAAATGACGTCAGAGTGACGTCAAAATTACCCTTATTTCGACTGTACCAGTTCTCCTCGCTGGAAGGCTGCCTCCTTTTCCTTTTTCCTTTTTTCCTCCCCCGGCCGTAAGAACGCGACTTAGGACTGCAAAGGCGGGGGAGCCGAGCCACGCCGTGCTGTGCAGGTGAAGCGTGCCAAAGTGCGTCGCGCGTCAAAGATCGACAAAGATCGTCAAAGGCGCTCACTGACAGTCAAAGACCGACGTTTGTACAGTCCGTCTTCTAATTGGCGTTCGCGCGCCGACTTTGATGTCGCCCTCGCCTCCCATTTTCTCAAGGGGTTGACCACTCAGCTCAGGAGTGTACACAGGATTACTGATTACCAGTGATTACCTACAAACATACTCAAAAAACTCCATAATTTTGGCCAGCTAAGAGCATTTTGGCCTTATTTCATAAGAAAAACCCCAAAATCCGATAAAAACGGCGAATCTAGCCAGTTTTGGTATGTGATTACCAATGATTACCGGACGAAGTGTACACACGATTACCAGAGTGGGTAACCCCTTGCATTTTCTTCCTCTTTTTCCTGTTTCGATTAGCAGATCGAGAGGAAAAGATCGATCAGGATCGAAACTGGCTGCGCTGCACGTGCCCACCCACACGTGAGTCGAGTCACGACAAATTGCTACTTTTCTCGGCGCGCGAGACGCCGCCTCCGCCAGCTGATTACGCCAAGAGTCGCTTTTCGTATCATCGCTCTGTCTCTGTCGCACTCATGGGACACCCCACCCCACCATCTGTTCGCACCTCACGCCCCCTGAACTACGCTGGAATTCGACATAGACTCTTGCGACTTGAAAAATACCAAGTGCGCTTTAAAAAACACCGAGTGCGATCTTTAAAAAAAAAAGCGTGTTTAAAAAGTACCAAGTGCGCTTAAGATACCAAGCGCCCTTTTAAGAAAATTACCAAGTGCGCTCTACAACTTGGCTGGGCGTGTACACAAGATTTGGCGAGTGCTTGCCCCCTCGCCAGCTGGAGGTAATTGGCGGTTCGGCCGCTAGGCTAGGTTTACCAACTGCGCGCGCGGAAAAACTTCCGGTGGGGATTAGCAGACAAAGTCGCCAGACTCTTCGTAACAGTGCACTGTGGGCCAGAAGACCGGTGGAGGCGGCCAAAGTTCTAGACGCGTTTTGAGCTCCAGTGTCGCTGAACAGAACTCGAATTGAACGTGTGACCCCACCAATGGATTGCTCTCCGAACGAGGAATCCATTGGTGGGATCACACGCTCGGTTCGAGTCCCATTTGGCGACTCTGGAGCTCAAAACGTGGTCTTGAATTTCGGCCGCCTCCGCCGGTCTTCTGGCCCACTGTGCAGTGCAACGGCCTTCGCGCCGGCCTTTGGGCGCCTCACTGTAAGGCCCATACACTGCAAGTCGCTACTCACTGAGCCATGCCGTCTGCAGCCTGGTGACCGTGATCTCGCTGTCGGGCAGCTCCAGCTGCGGGATGAGGATGGCCGAGTAGCCCAGCACCGCGCCGTCGGGCAGGTAGAAGCTGTTGGCGGCGATGCACGCCGCGATCTACACCGGAAACACAAACAGTTTTACTTCCGGCCTCGCCTCCTTCGCGAAAAGGAAGGAAGGCGTCCGGAGGAAGAACGCATTCGGCGCGAGAGTCCTGCAAAAAAAACAACAACAACACGACCATGATGCCAGAACGCCGTTTTTTACGGAGGGATAAATTTTCGCGACCGCAGCGAAAAGCTTTGACGCCCCGCGTCAACCTTCGAACAGTGTTGGCAGAAAAGTGGGCAAAAAGGAGCGCTAAACACACCGGTGTGCAGCCGGGCTGTAACTTCCCCTTGAGACTGATTCCGAGAGTCGTTTTCGTCGCTCTGTCTCTCTCGCATCTATAAGGGACGCTCCATGATTGCGAAATCTGTCTGCTTGCTCCTTAGGCAGTTCTTCAACAACCGCGACGAGAAATCGCCCTGTAGACTGGAGGAGATACAGCCCGCCGCACGCCGGTGTGTTTGGCCTCCTTTCCGCCTCCTTTTCTGTCAACACTGGAACTTGAGGTTCACAAACGACACGATATTGTACCATTTAACAAAGCGGAGAGGATGGTGGCGCGTCTTGGGGAGTGACCGAAGGAGTGCGCGGTGGGCGGTCCACTGTGGGCCAGAAGACCAGTGGAGGCGGCCAAAACTCTAGACGCGTTTTGAGCTCCAGAGTCGCTAAATGGGACTCAAACCGAACCTGTGACCCCATCAATGGATTGCTCTCCGAACGAGGAATCCATTGGTGGGGTCACACGTTCGGTTCGAGTCCTGCTAAGCGGTTCTAGAGCTCAAAACGCGTCGGCCGCCTCCGCCGGTCTTCTGGCCCACTGTGCGGTCGCAACCCGCGGCGATACCAACCTGCGGCAGCACTGGTCGCAGCGACAGCTTCTTCCCGCAGTCCTCGCCGTCCTCGTCATCCTTGCGTGTTCCCGGCGGCGGCCCGTCGCTGCAAGCAGGGCCAAGCCAAGCTACACGTCAAGCTACACGTCAGGCTGGCGGTGCGGCACACCACGTGACACGAGGCGCACCGCGGCGGCACTTTCCACGCCCGGCCGTGCCGTGCCGTGCCGTGCCGTCGCGAACGCCGCGCCGCTCTCGTGGGATCAAACGCTACACGCGTTTTGCTGCGCTCGACTCGAGCCGCAGTCATGGAGTTTTTACATGAAAGCGCCGCACAGTGGGCCAGAAGACCGGTAAAGGCGGCTGAAACTCCAGACGCGTTTTGAGCTCCAGAGTCGCTAAACAGGACTCGAACCGAACGTGTGACCCCATCAATGGATTCCTCGTTCGGAGAGCAATCCATTGGTGGGGTCACACGGAAGATTCGGGTCCCATTCAGCGACTATCAATCAATACATGAGTGCAAGTGAGATAGAGCGACGCGAAAGAAAGCACTGTTCCGGATCGGTATGCAGACCGTTCCAAAGTAGGACCCACACGCTCCCGCGTCGCGAGCGGTCGGTCGGACGACGAAGCAAGGACCCCCGCAGCGGAGACACACTGTACTAACACGTAAATGCGGTGTATTCGAGATTTCTCTTCCAGTGCGCACAGTGCGGCACAGAGGGAAGGAAGGAAAAACAGGGGGGGGGGGGGGGAGGAGGGTCTGAGAAGTCACATCGGTGCGAGTTGGTCCGTTACCGGCACGTCGTCGGCCAGGTCGTGAATCCGTAGTCACTACCCGCCACGGAGGCCGTGGTTCACTCCACGCACTCACACGCACTCACTCACACACAAACATACACACACGCACAAACACATTCACTCTCTCTCTCTCTCTCTCTCTCTCTCTCTCTCTCTCTCACACACACACACACACGCGCGCGCGCGGCGTGCGGGCAATATGGCATATTTACCTCAGGGTCATCTCTCAAAACCTGCCGTGCTCCTGGGCGGCATCAGCGGCGTCCTGTAAAAATAAAGTAGAAACGTTTCGCAAAAATGACAAAAGAAAAAAACACGACGAGAAACAAACAGCGCGGAACCGCGAACTGGACGCTCGCGTGGACCGTTGGCTCCGTGGCCCTGAGCAAGGTGCGGTGCCGCGGTGCCATCCGTCCGTTGGCAGTGGTCCCACCGAGTCCATGACCTAGCCACCGAGGAGGCGAGGGGCAACGACGCCACCATAATATTTGTCGGCGAACAGGAACGCGTCAACAAACGCTGCGGGGTAAAGGGCGGACCAGGAAATCGGTTCGTGGCACTGTGGAGGTGGTCGCGGCGGTGTCCGATCTGTGGCACTGTACGAGGCCGTCGCACTTGCTGTCGCACGCGCCGTGGCCGTCGTGGTGGCCGTGGCCGTCGTGGTGGCCGTAGCCGTCGTGGTGGCCGTGGCCGTCGTGGTGGTCGTGGCCGTCGTGGTGGCCGTGGCCGTCGTGGTGGCCGTGGCCGTCGTGGTGGCCGTAGCCGTCGTGGTGGCCGAGGCCGTCGTGGTGGCCGTGGCCGTCGTGGTAGTCGTGGCCGTCGTGGTGGCCGTGGCCGTCGTGGTGGCCGTGGCCGTCGTGGTGGTCGTGGCCGTCGTGGTGGCCGTGGCCGTCGTGGTGGCCGTGGCCGTCGTGGTGGCCGAGGCCGTCGTGGTGGCCGAGGCCGTCGTGGTGGCCGTGGCCGTCGTGGTAGTCGTGGCCGTCGTGGTGGCCGTGGCCGTCGTGGTAGTCGTGGCCGTCGTGGTGGCCGTGGCCGTCGTGGTGGCCGTGGCCGTCGTGGTGGCCGAGGCCGTCGTGGTGGTCGTGGCCGTCGTGGTGGCCGAGGCCGTCGCCGTGTGGAGGTGGCCGTCGCGTTGGCCGCGGCCATCGCGCTGGCCGTCGGGCTGGCCGAGGCCGTAGGTTTGTGGGCGTCGAAGGGGAGTACGCCATAAAAAGGCCACGGCCCCGTCCGCCCGCCTGCGTGCAAACTACACCGGTTATACCAATGGGCGCGGCGCCTTGAACGGCTCTCTATACTCTCATCCCCCAATAAGGGCGGAATAACCCTAACCCTGGCCATGCCCTCGCGCTGCCTTGGAGAGAGAGAGATAGAGATAGCTTGCTTTTTTTGCTGGTGCAGCCCCGGCTGGGCCGCTGCGTCCTAGCTTTTCCAAGACTCATGAGGCTGTGGCCTATCGGCAGGGTGGCAGCCCAGACAGACACTGCACACCGTCCGAGTTCTATTTCCTCTCGAAGAACTCGAATTGAACCTATGATGGCACCAGTCGATTCATCGTTCGGAGGGCAATCCACATTGGAATTCAGAATCGGCCTGAGGGAGGGGCAAAGCTGCGCTTATTGGCTACTTACAGGGACAATGCGATGGCTTTTGGACACGTTGAGCATTTTGCCTACCTTCCAGCAAGCGCGGATCCAGGGGGGGGGGGGGCAAAGGACAATTGCCCCCCCCCCCTTGACCCCTAGATAGCCGCCTGAAAGGTAGGCAAAAAGCACCGATTTGCCCCTGTAAGTAGGCAAAAAGTGCTACTTTGTCCCCCCCCTTGGGCTGACTCTGGATCCGCCACTGCCTTCCAGGCGGCGTTGCAGCGGCCAAACGAGGGCGAAAAGGCCTTACCCCTCTTTAAATCCATCCTTGTTCCTCCGTGAGTTCGGTTCCAGCGTCCCAACTCGCGGAAGTAAGCCACAGTTTACCGTAGGCTGAGCACACACACGCGTACGCAAGCACACACAAAAAGAAACGCAGCGTCGCTGGAGAAACATGTTTGTCCCACGGACGCGCGCGTCTGCCTGCGCGACGCTCAGTCCAGCGACCGAAGGGACGTCGCTCTGTCTCTGTCACACTCATGGGGCGTGCCGTAGGGGGGGTGCGAGGGAGACAGAGCGACAAAACGTTCCTTCGGAATCGCTGAGCAGCCCCCCCTGGGCGTTGTGGACGAAGACGCGGCAAATAACACCTTCAGAGGATCGGTTTTTGTCGCTCTGTCTCTCTCGCACCCTTACGGACAGCCCCATGAGTGCGAGAGAGACAGAGCGACGAGACGACTCTTCTGAATCGCTCGGCAGGACCGCTTTGCCGCTTTGTGCGAGGTCAGTGAACGGCTGAAGCCGTACCGGCTAAAGCAGCAGCCGGACCAGCAGCCTGACTCCCAGAGTCGTCTTCGTCGCTCTGTCTCTCTCACACTCATGGGGCTGTCCGTAAGGGTGCGAGAGAGACAGAGCGACGAAGACGACTCTCGGAGTCAGTCTGCTGGCTGGCTGGCCGGTGTTGCCTGTAGACGGTGCCGGAGTGCAACGCACCCCAGCCACTCACTTATGCACGGCAAGGAATGTTAAGGGAATCAAAACAACGTCGCCACTGCGGCGCGGTTTGGCGCCGAGCTTTCCGAACAACTGAGACACTGCTCAGTCCTCATAGGAAGGGCGCGTTCCCGCTCGAAATAATCATGGTTCCGTTCCTCACGAAGGAAGACGCTCTCAGTTAAAGCCTCCATTTTCCTGCAGACATTTTAACAAGTCGGTCCTTGCCCTCGCCTCTCCTTCAAGGTTGGGCTGCAGGGCAGGGCCTCTGCGGCCGAGGGAGTAGAGACACCGATCCCCGACCCGAGGGACCCACGTTCGAGTCCCCGCATTCCAGCGCATTTTCAACCAGTTTTCTCTGTCATTCTGCGGGTTGGGGGAGTTGTTTCCACGGAGCGAAACAGCCCCCCTCTCTTACTTCATTGATTACTCTGCTAACTTCAGTACTGTACTGGCACGGCACTCACGCACGCACTCTCACACACGGCCTGCACAGAGTCTTTGCTGCGCCGTTGCCCTGCGTTGCCCAGCCACCCCGCAGAGTCCACGATGCCGGTGCGTGCAGATAAGCCACCCGCACTGCAGACTGATTCAGAGAGTCGTCTTTGACGCCCTGTCTCTCTCGCACTCATGAGGCGCTCCCTGCAGATACGAGAGAGGCAGAGCGCCGAAAACGACTCTCGGAATCAGTCTGCTGCGATAGGCTAGGGCAGCTAGGCCTGCACCCGGCGCTACCGCGCGTCAGGGTCACTCCGACATTGTGGGCAGTCCACCCGGCACCGTCCGTGCGCCCTACCAGCAGATTGATTACGAACAGTGCTTTCGTCGCTCTGTCTCTTTCGCACCCATGGAGTGGTCCACAGGGATGCGAGAGAGTCACACAGTCGGCCAGAAGACCGGTGGAGGCGGCCAAAATTCTAGACGCGTTTCGAGCTTCACTAAATGTGACTCGAACCGAACGTGTGACCCCACCAATGGATTGCTCGTTCGGAGAGCAATCCATTGGCGGGATCACACGTTCGGTTCGAGTCCCGTTTAGCGACTCGGGAGCTCAAAACGCGTCGAAAGCCTTCGCCGGCGGCGCCGGTCTTCCGGTCCACTATGACGCCACCGACGGCGTCCTTGTCTCCGCTCACGCTGCTCTCGCTGCTCACCCTATCCGTGGTCGTCGCGGTCCCGGCCGCCGTGCCGCCGTGCCGGTGCCAGCAACGCACTGTCGTCCTCCTCGAGTGGCAATAATAAGCCTGAAAACGGCTCCGCGGCGTCCACATCGACGGGAGAGGCTGTATGCACACTGCGGGTACTGCGCGGCGGGGCGGGGCGGGGCGGGGCGGGGCGCGGCCCGTGTCCTGTGGCAGAGTGGCCGCACCGCCGATTCGGGTGTGAGAGAAATCGCGACTGGACTGGGACGTCGCCGGCGCGGCCTGTGGTGCCGGGGCCCTGTCTGCAGTTTGAGCCCCGGACCGCGCGGCGCGCCGCGTGGCGGGGCGGCGGAGCGGCGGCGCCTCGCTCGGCGGGGCGCAGGCAGGCAGGGCGCGGCGGTCCCCCGGGCCTCTCTCCCTGCAGCCTTGCCAGCCTTGCCAGCCTTGCCCCGCTCGCACCTGACTGGTTTGGCCCTTGTCCGCCGTCCCGCCGCGTTCCGCCGCGTTCCGCCTCCAAGACGCCAACGCCGTGGACCACGTGGTGGCGGCAGCGCGGCGGCGCGGCAGCGCGGCGGCGCGGCAGCGCGGCAGCAGCCACAAAGCGCTATCAAAACACGATACGTTGATAACTGACCGCGGCCAGCCGGAGCGACGCCGTGACGCGGTGACGCCGCGACGTGACGTGGCGACGGAGTGACTTCACGCAGTGACAGGAGTGACAAAGTGACGTGTTGACACAGTGGTGTGGAAACGAAGTGACGCGGTGACAAAGTGCCTGACTAAAAGGAGTGACTCAGATGGAGTGACAAAGTGACGTGGTGACACAATAACGTGATGACAAAGTGCCTAACTAAGTAAAGGAGTGACAGAGTGGCTCAGAGATGGAGTGACAAAGTGACGTGGTGACAAAGTGCGTGACGGAGTGACTGAGCAACACGCGCCCGCGCCGCGACTCTGAAGCTCCGGAGTCTGCGGCGCGGCGGTACGTACCTATTGGGTGTCGCGGCCGTCCCGGCTGCTGGCTGCTTGGCTGGCTGCTTGGCTGGCTGCTCGGCTCGCCGCGGCCCGGCCCGCTCGGCGCCATGGCCAAGGCCTCGCGGCACACGACACGGATCGTGCCCGTTGTTTCCTTCCTCACCAGGACGACGACGACGGCGTCGGCGGCGGCGGTAGGCGCCACGACGGGGGGCAGGACGCCGTCGACGCGGCACCGGGAGCACTGTACTACCGCGCTGCGGACACCGCCCGTCCGCCCGGCCGAGCACACGTGCCTGATAAGGGACCGCTCGTAGTTCATTTATACCTCGAGACAGAATGGGGTTGGGTGTTTTTCGGGCATCGCTTTGCACATTTTTAAAGAGAAGAACGCGAGAAACTACTGCTGTGTCCAAAGGGAAGGGGTGACCGACGCTCTCTCTCACTTTTTTCAGTGGCGCGGCGTGGGTGGGGCCCACGCTAAGTGCGACGGGCCTGCCGCCCCGCCGGCCCGCCGGCCCCGCTGGCGGTGAGTGTGTGTCAGGCCGTCCGGCGGCCAGTGGCGCACAGTGGGCCGGAAGACCGGTGGAGGCGGCCAAAACTTTAGATCGTTTTGAGCTCCAGAGTCGCTTAATGCGACTCGAACCGAGCGTGTGACCCCACCAATGGATTCCTCGTTTGGAGAGCAATCCATAGGCAGGGTCACACGTTCGTTTCGAGTCGCATTTAGCGACTCTGGAGCTCAAAACGCGTCGAGTTTTGGCCGCCTCCACCGGTCTTCCGGCCCACTGTGGGGCCGCCCTCTGGCCCTCTGGGTCCTCCAGGACCGCCCTATCGAGTGTCCCGACGTGATCCCGGCGGGGTGGTCGGCCTGCAGAGTGATTCCGTCTCTCTCGCACCTCCGCAGAACGTCGCGTGGAGGAGAGAGATAGAAGAGCCCCGCGGAATCAGTCTGCGGAGCGCGCGCTTCGGTTCCGCATGCAGCGCTGCCGTGTGATCCAAGAAAGAACGGTCGGTCGCTCTGTCTCTCTCGCACCCTCAGAGGGCTCCGTGGGTGCGACGGAGACAGAGCGATGAAACGACTCTCTTCTGAATGGCCGCGCGCAGCTGACACGTTCTGCCGCCTCACTGTGGTCGCCGTGGACGGGGCTGGGCAGGGTGACGACCTCGTGGCTTCGGGAAAGACCACGTGACAGGAATCGGGTCACTTTCACAACGACTCCGTCCCCCCTCAAAAAATAAAAATAATAAAGAAAACTAAAGTAAAAGTTTAATTTTTAAGAGAAGGCCAAGTAAAAACCCAAGCCGAGACTGAAATTCGTTGCAAGAAGCGAGTGGCTTTTTGCGACACTCGTTCTGCGTAGGGAATCTTTTGCCCCCCTCATGGAAGAGTTGGTGTGGTAAAATGAAGAAGACACACACTTCGCCGTGGATGTTGATATTTTATTAAAAATAGAAGACGACATGCTTTGATCCTGGTGTTTGTTACAGGTTGAGGTCATTTCACTCCGGAAAAGTCTGTCCTCCTCTTACAGCATGGTTCTGCGGCGACTCGCGGCGCAGAGAGAGAGAGAGAGATAGACAGAAACAGAGAACGCGCCGCGTTTAATTATTGGTCCTCCGCGGAGGGACGGTCGCAGTTCACAGTAATTGAAAAAACAACAGGGACTATCTAATCGAAGCGAACAACAACAATAAATGGTAATAATGTTACACTCTACATTAGTTAGTACAGAAGAGTCTTTTGATTCTCGAAATGAGTGAAGGAAGGTGGAAGGGAACTGAAGGACCGAAGTCGGGCCGCCTCTCGGCCCCGCCTACTTCTTCCTGCCCATCATGCCGCCGAAGCGCAGCGCGCTGGCCTTGGAGCCCGCCTCCTCGGACTGCCTCATCTGCTTCTCCTGCAGCGCGCGGATCAGCTCCTCGGCGGTCAGCGGCCGCGCCTTGTCCAGCGGGGTGTCTGCAACACGGTCAACGTCCGTTAGCTCGTGTCATGGTGGCCGAGAGCGTAGAGGCATCGGCTTTTGGATCCGAGGACTCGAGGTTCGATACCCGGTGAGTGTGTAATTTTCTACATGGTTTTTCCGGGAATCAGTCTAAGAATTTTAGGTCGGCGGGCGCTGTGGCTCCGCCAAGATAACTTTTACTATGGAGAACGAGGGGGTAACGACTGGTACATTTCGTGTCAGCCGGATTAAGGATTACCTCGGATTACCCCGGATTACCCCCTAATTACCTCCGGATTACAACAAAAAAATTCCTGGATTACCTTTGGATTTAGCTGGATTACCCCGGATTAACTCAAAATTTTCCCGGATTACCTCAAAATTTCGGGTTATCCGGATTACGGATTACCAATTTGCTGTCAGCCGGATTCCCGAAGTCGTTACCCCCTCGATGGAAAACCTCCTCTTTAAAAATTTTTTTCACGGAATGAATAAATCAATCGTTCACATCTCCACCACTTTCCTTTCGGATGGAAGTTAGGTCGGAGCAACCGAGATGCATGCTGGGGGACCGGGCAAGCCGGCAGGGAGGCTGGCAGGCAGGTGGGCGGTCTCCCAGCATGCATCTCGGTTGCTCCGACCTATCTTCCAAATGACCTTAGGGGGACGTCCATATACTACGTGCCCTAGTTTAGGCCACTTTTTGACCCCTCCCTACCTGAGGGCCCTGGAAAACCTTCCAATGTTTTCATTTAGTATAGAACCGTGCGCCCAGTCACAGACTCCCCTCCCCCGCACAGTGGGCCAGAAGCCGGTGGAGGCGGCCAAAACTCTAGACGCGTTTTGAGCTCCAGAGTCGCTAAATGGGACTCGAACCGAACGTGTGACCCCACCAATGGATTGCTCTCCGAACGAGGAATCCATTGGTGGGGTCACACGGTCGATTCGAGTCCCATTTAGCGACTCTGGAGCTCAAAACGCGTCTAGAGTTTTGGCCGCCTCCACCGGCTTCTGGCCCACTGTGCCCCGGACCGGACGTGTAGTATATGGACGTCCCCCAGGCAGCGACATCCCCGGAACACAAACATCCTTCCCTGTTGTGAATCGGCGTGTTCCACAAATCAAGCCAAAAGTAAGTCGGGTTCACTGACACCGACTCCCTGACGACGCGGACGACGAAGTGACGCATGCCGGCCCGCTCACCTCGGATGAAGTTGTCCAGCAGGGGCCTGGCGGGCTCGTCGGCCCAGCCGTCGCCGCCGAGGGGCCCGCCGCCGTAGGGGCCGCCCAGCTCGCTGAAGGACAGCGGCTGCACGAAGCGCACCACGGGGTGCAGGAAGCCGGGCGCGTCGCGGTGCCGCTTGCGCGCGTCCAGACGCGCCTCCAGGGCGGGGTGACGCAGCGGCCAGAAGGGCGCCATGCCGGCCAAGCCCGCGGCGGACGAGATGCCGCCGGACCGGCCCTGCCGGGACAGCCGGGACAGCAGCCCCACGCCGTCCGGGAACAGGCCGGACTCGCCGACGCCGTCCTCACCTGCAGCACGACAAGCAGGCCGAGAAGGGGCTGCGTGAGACAAGGGCCGGGGCAAACAGTGCAGCCAGTGGGCCAGAAGACCGGTGGAGGCGGCCCAAATTCCAGACGCTAAATGGGACTCGAACCGAGCGTATGACCCCACCACCAATGGATTCCTCGTTCGGAGAGCAATCCATTGGTGGGGTCACACGTTCGGTTCGAGTCCCATTTAGCGACTCTGAAGCTCAAAACGCGTCTAGAATTTTGGCCGCCTCCACTGGGTTCTCTGGCCCACTGTGAGCCAGCAACGGACTGGCGGAAAACAGCCGAGTCTGACTCGCTGCAGCACTCGAACCGAACGTGTGACCCCACCAATGAATCGCTCTCCGAACGAGGAATCCATTGGTGGGGTCACACGGTCGGTTGGAGTCTTGTTTAGCGAATCGGGAGCTCAAAACGCATCTAGGGTTTTGGCGGCCGGCGCGGGTCTTCTGTTGCACTGGGCGTGGCCAGCGCTGCGCGCAGCCAATGAAGACGTATGGCGGCCCGCGGCCCGGGTCACTAGACGCATTCGAGTTGCCAGCGGACCGATTCCGTGAGTCGTTTGCGTCGCTCTGTCTCTCTCGCACTCATCGGACGTCCCGTGTAGGTGCGAGAGAGACAGAGCGACGAAAACGACTCTCGGAATCAGTCTGCAGTGCACCATCCCATTAAGAGGACGGCCAAGACGAAGAGACGGCCCGATGGCTCGTGGCTGCGGTGGCTGGCTATGGCTACATAGCTGGCCCAATTTGCTGGGAGTCGAACCCTTGCCCCTGAAGTTGCGGGTCGACGCCTCTGCGCGCTCAGCCGCCGCTGATTCTAGAGAGTACATAGCAGGTCCCACTCCTGGCTCCACACTGTGGCATCCCGAGGAAATCATGATCACGCGCAGGGGCTAGGGTTCGACTCCCAGCAGAGGAGGGGCGTGAGGTTCTTCTCCGCTGTTATAACGTGTCACCCTAAGGACGGCGATGTCTCGTTTTGCAGTGCAGGCGGGCCGGGCCCGAAACGGCATACGATCAGTTGTGGTCTGGCCCGTAATGGTAATGGTAACCGGCGTCGAGGGTGGGCCCGTCGCACACCCGTGCGTGCTGGGTTGCCTATCCCGACTTGCGCGGGCGCTCCGCGCGGTGCGGGCCTCGACCGCCTGAACCGCCCGGCTGCGCTGCCGCGCCGCGTGGTTGCAGTCGGACGCAGTCAGGCAGTCAGAAACCGAGAGCCGATGCAGTGTGCCCCCCGCCCCGGCCTCCCGCACCTGATGCGCTGCGTCCCGTCAACACCATTAGCTAATTGGCCATTGGTCCACCGTGGTTTTGGTCGCCTCGGGCGGCCGCAGTGAGAGCTACGGGGCGGGCGGGGGCATCGCCACTGACAGCTTCAGATCTCCTGTCGCTATGGTGGACAGGACGCAGCGGATCGAAACCCTCCAATCGTGTATAGGGTCTGTTTAGCGTGGTTTGGCGTCTGGAGCTAAAAACCTGTCCAGAATTCCAGCTGCCTCCACCGGTCTTCTGGCCCAACCTGTACCCCCCCCCTGCCAGGTCACCACCCCTATGACTCTGTGACTTTGCGACCCCAGCAACAAGTGACGCGAGCCGAGCAATAAGCAACGGCACCTTGATAAGCACCCGCGATGCGAATAACAACGGCCAACTCGTTAGGCGCGCTCCCTTTCTAGTTTTTACCTTCTTTTCTTTATCTCTCTCTCCCTCGCGCGGGGGAAGCAGCGCGAGACAAAGCGAGGCCATTTAGGGACCGTGGCTCTGCCGCGGCACTGTGAGTGAGTCGCGTTTGCTTGGTTCGCCTGGGCGCTGCGCTGGCGCTCTCTCTCTCTCTCTCTCTCTCTCTCTCTCTCTCTCTCTCTCTCCCCTCTCTCTCCCTCCCCCCTCTCTTCTCCCTCTCTCTCTCTCTCTCTCTCTCTCTCTCTCTCTTTTCTCCTCTCTCTCTCTCTCTCTCTCTCTCTCTCTCTCTCCTCTCTTCTCTGTCGCGGGGGCGGCGGTGCCTCCGGCTCAGGCGCAGCCTCCCTGCATGGGACGCCGCGCTGTCCGTGGCGTCCTGAGAGCGGATTCCGAAGCCATGCCGTGACGCCGCTATCCGTCTCTCTCGCACTCACGGGGCGTTCCGCAGGAGTGCGAGAGAGACAGAGCGACGAGGCGCACACTCTGCTGCAAACGCCCCCGTGCGCGCGCGGTGCGCGTTAGCGTTTTTTGGCACGAAGTAGCCTTATAGTATACCCAGGACTCAGCCGGCTCGAGATTTGATTTGTGTGGCCCTTTATGCATTTCGGAAGTTTTCTATACGATTTTTAAAGAGATTTTGCAGACTAGTAGAACTTTGAACGCTGATTCTGATGTTGAAATCTGGTCAAAAAATTTTGGGGGCCAAATTTTTAGAAATTTGCTGCCAAAATCGCCGTTTCCATGGCAAAAATCGACTCGTCAAAGGAAAAAAAAGGGAGTGGGGGGAGCCGAGCCGGGGCGGACCAATAGCGGAGCTTCTTTTTGGGTCTGTACAGCTTACTCCAAAAGCTGAAAAAGCAACGTTCGAAATGAAAATTTCTTTGACTGCAGGTAGACAAGATGCAACAATAGAATTTGGGGCGGTTCGAACGCAGTTTTTCGGGGAGAACTATCCCAAAAATACTTCTTGATTGGAGTGTTTTTGGACATGCGCAGTGTTTGTTTTGATTCAGTTAGCACTAGGACCCCTTCGCTCCACCTCGCGACTTGCAGTGCTCATGTTCCTCGAACAAGACTCACCCGCGTTTCGAAACCATCCCCCCCGAGTTTTTGAAGTTTGTCAAACCAACCCTCGTGGTGTTGATACGTTTAAGGGAGAACTATTACACAGAATTGAAGAAAACATGACTAGAGAACCATAGCCCTTTTTAAACAAGCCCAAAAAATTCAACGTCCACAACAAGGAGGGGCAGTTTTTAAAGCGCGACTGCTGGCGCTTTCAGCTTCGCGATTTTCGCAAAGGGGGCAGACGCCGAGAAAATAGTTGCCAACCCCAGAAAATTAATTTACTGACTTCTTTCTGCTAAGAAAATTTTTAAACATGATGGACTTCAAAGATGTTCCATTGTCAGAACACTGCGGAATACATTAGCATTGGAATTTTTGAATTT